CTATAGGTCGGCGTCTTACATGAATGCAACTATCGCATAACAGCAGAGATGACTGTACACATCAGTCACATGAAAGAATCACAGTCAATCGCTGGGACCAACGAATTGCCTATTATAAGTGTATAAAATATATTTTTTTAAATTCCCTTAATTTTATTTATATTATTTCAGAACTTTAAATGTAATGCCATTATATTAATCGTCAATGTTTGAGTTCTGGGAACACACGTCATTGACTTCTAAATTGATTTACGTTATAAAAAGGGTTTCAATTTACGCCGGTTCGTCCAGGAACGCATCCCCGGCGTAAATCGAGGGATACCTGTATTCTGTTTCGGTTATTGTTTACATTCTTAAGATTTTTCTTTTCTTTTCAAAAAAGGGCACGTAGAAATTGTCAGCACAGACGAAACTCTCAAAGTTTTGTACACACCTCAAATAGGCTTAGTTAGTGTCCCTAGTGATGGAAGAATCTATGGCAATGATTAGGGCAGTTTCGGACTGACATTTTGTCTTTTATATAACCACGTAAGAAAAATATCGCACGGAGTTAAGTCTGGCGATCTCGGCGGCCATATGCACCACACGACGTCATTGGCTCATACACGGCCGATCCACCTCCGGAGAAGGTAAGGGGGTTCCGAAAAGCCACGTGGAAGTGAGGTGCCCCCCCCCCCCTCATGTTGTTGGAAGATGAAGTCGTTCGAATCCTCTTCCAGTTGCCAATTGGGCTCACTTTAGTGTTCATGTTAAAATGAAACTACTTTTTTCAGTCCACGGCAGAATTTGCATCGTACGGCCAAAATTTCTGGTTTCTGAGCCTCAACCAAAAGTAAGTTTACACGGTCTCATAAGTTAGCTCTTACGCAGGATTTTGGAGACGGTTGCGAGCATATAATTTCCGCTATTATAGGGTAGCCATTTTGAAAAGTAGTGTAATCTAGCGGAGGTAAGCAACAAGTCTCCCAGATCTTTTGAAAAATAAATTTTGAGAGTTTTTCTATCGACTGGTGTGGCTGTGAAGTTATGAATATGCTTCAGTTGGTTTGTGTGATGTTTTGAAAATGTAAAGTTGTTTTGTGCTCATCCTGTACGTGCTTCAAAAATATGAAGTCACGCATAATTAATATTCCGTATTATAATGTGTGTACATCTTTTTGGGGGACCGTGTACATGAGTAACATTGCATTCTTTTACAGCAAGCCTCTAAACTTTATCTTCCGTCGAAGTAATTTTGTTTTGGGTTTTAAGTTGGACGTATTTTAGAGTAAGGAAAGACTGTATCTAGAATTATGTTTATAAGTTGTAACTGCAGTTCTTGTGGTAACCTTTGGTAGTGCTTGTTGTGTATAGGATGGGTGATGTTATATAACCCTGTACATGCTCTGCTGCTTGTGAAGGATCACGTGATATGGACAAAACTGAGTTTGAATTACTACTCGCCGTATGTAAATAATTTAACACTGAACAGAGCTGTTGGAAAAAGTCATGGCCTTTTTAGGCTCACGTAATTGATAATGGGCAAAATGTGCGTCAGTAAAAACACTGTTAAGTCTCTCGTGAGGACGACTTTGGCAGGACCTCTGTTGTCATATGGAAGAGTGACCTCGTCGTTTAGAAGATCACGTGACTAGATGGGTAATCAGTCTGACGCGCGAACTTTTGAGGTGGGAGCGAAGTTCGTACCATTCAATATATGGCGCTAAAGTAATGTGTGACAGCAAATCTTCGAAAATGTGTAGCGTTTATATTATATCACAATATGACGCAACTTTACCATCTCATGTGTAGCGTTTGTTGAAACTTTCTTCTTCTTATTCTTCTTCAGTTTACTTACAGTAACCAGGCATATGAAACAGTACGAAATTGTATCATAAACGCGCCTCTAAATTACGTATGTAATATTGTAAGTCAACATTATGCAACACGTTTAATAATTGTGACCAGTGGTATAAATATATAACCCTAGTGGGAATGCGTTCGTTTACTCAGCGTAGAGAATCTGTGCTCCACCCTTGTGCCTCGCTGTGGTAATAAATGGTGGAAAGCTGAGTTGCCAGATCTTACTCCGTATGTCATTCAGTTTGGCAACAATGTAAATTGCTATGCGACGTGCAATGGAAGACAAAGGAGGATAGTTTAGTAGTAGATCAGTGCTTCCCGAACACGGGTAAATTACACAATAAGGGGTAAAAGTTGGTTTTCGTTGGGTAACGAACACATCTCGGAATATACATTAAAATTTACCGTTAAAGTGTTGGAGAAGTACTCTGAAGAAAGCGATGAATCATTGTGTACCGATAGAGTCTTTCTGTTTAACAATTCACGATGAATATCCTGTGGTAGTTGGGGAGGCCGTGATGCAATTATTGCAGTTTCCAAGTACCTACGTGTGTGAAATAGGATTTTCCCACTCTTGCCTTCACAAAGAGCACAAAACGAAACTGTTTGTTGAACCACGAATGCGATGTGAGGTGTGCTGTGTCTCAAATTGATCCCAATTTTGTGGAACTGGTAAATAAGATGGAGCAGTGGCTTTGTACTCATTAGCTGGGACGTGGGTGATGAAATATGAAGGAAAAAGTTCGGGAACCAGTGGAGTAGATGATCAGATGGCTCCCAAAATCAGAGGTAGAATGTTGATCTTCTCATTTCTCACACATTTTCCGCTGTTTCGTTGGTACTGTTTTTGTTTTTTTTGTAGGTATGTGCGCGTTATTATCAAAGTTAGGTCACCACGGCATTACGTAGCTTTTATCATCACACAGATAAAACTACTTGTACACGTGTGTATCGTAACATATCTTTCTGCGTAATCAACACCCCTGTGTGAGGCACTTGTCTCTGGGGGAAACCCGTACAGTTAGTCCCATCGCAAAGAACTCCTGACCACACAAATCGAGGTTTGTAGGTCGACCCTGCCTCTCCAGGTACAAAGAAAAATATCAATTTTTTTCACTGTGCAGTTTGAGATATGTTTACAATAGATGACTCAGTAAATAAATATGAAGGCCAATCAGTTATACATAGTCACTTATTTGAAAAATTGTGTGCTTCAAGGAATGCATTTTCACGCCGTTTTGAACACGCGAAGAGAGAGTTCTGGTTCGAAATATGACTTTATCCTGCGTAGAATCTGTTGACAGTTCTGAGCACGATTCACGGCGTCATTTTGTGGGAGGCATGCATCATGTTCCGGACGTGATCAGTGTAATCGTAACCTCGAATGTTGATTCTCTAGAGGGGCTTTCCCTTGGACTGTGGTGAAGGCTGAGTTATCTAGGCGGCGTAGGAACTATTCGTGGTATCTAGTACTGACGACCAGCTAGTAAGCCAACACAGAGGTATGTACGCGCGCTTTGTCGTGTATGTTTCTTGTATATTAGGGAAGGACTTTGGCTCCCCTACACTGTTTTGATTTGAGGTTATTACAATTCAGGGATAATGAGTACCATAAATACGCGATCAGTGTGAAATATTTCTCGTAAAGAACATTTCACTTCATCAGTAAGGATTTTAGAAATTATTTACTGATGTTGAGTGACCAGATTATTTAAAGGTGCTTAGTCAAGGTAATTGGTTTTCGAGCCCAGATTCGA